TTATGTGTTATCTTTTCTAGTTGCCTGTCATTTACTTGCTTAACTGTTAAAAAGGCATTTTGAAGAAGCTTAAATTGAACTAAAGTGACTTTACATATTTTCACTGTTCCACTATTTTTACTGGCTTTCACTGGTTCTTTATAGCCTGTTGATGTTCCTTTGCGCGATTTCTTATTACTCAGTCTGCATTTATTATTATTACTCATTGAGTTGGAGTACTCACTTTACTCTCTGCACCTTGTGTGCAGGTTCAGGTATTTCTGGACCCGGTAACGGGTATTGGTTGCTCAGAGGCAGAGCCATCGGAGTTTAGCAAGGTAGCTGCCCGACGTCCACAGCACTGCTTTTCTCCCTCCTGATTTCATTAGACTGTATTTAGTACATTTTCAGAATTTTCCGTTGTATTTAAACCTTAGTAGATGCTCGTGACTTGTGACACTCCGATGTCGGGCTATGTCTATTCCACAGTAGTATTATCTACCTTATTTTGGGATTTATTATTACGATTTAGACTTAGTTCTATTATTTAATTGCTTAAGAATGAAGAGGGAGTGTGTCGGATGGCCTTGTCTTCACGAGAGGCGCCATCACGACTGGGTCCGGGTTTAGGGTCGTGATAATTTTATTGAAATTTAGGGTTTAGGTATTGTTTTAATTGAATTGAATTGATTACATATGGTGTAAATTGAATGTTTAAGTTTGTATTGTCTTGAATAGTTTAGTTAGAATTGAATTATTACTTTGAATTGAATTGAGTTTTTAGGATTTGTTCTTGTGAATTGAACTTTTAGGGTATGGGTTGAACTTTTAGGATATGAATTGAACTTTTTGGATATGAATTGAACTTTTAGAATATAAATTGAATTTTTAGTTTATGTTTAAACTCTTAGGATATGAATTGAACTTATAGTTTATGTTTAAATTGAATGAATTGAATTACTAACTTTGAATTGAATTAAGTTTTTAGGATTTGTTCTTGTGAATTGAACTTTTAGGGTATGGGTTGAACTTTATGGATATGAATTAAACTTTTTGGATATGCATTGAGCTTTTAGGATATAAATTGAACTTTTAGTTTATGTTTAAATTCTTAGGATATGAATTGAACTTATAGTTTATGTTTAAATTGAATGAATTATAATTAACTATATTTACTATAATTTAATTTTGGTATGATTAGGAAAAATTAATTATATTAATTAACTAAAAAAAATTTCCTTAATTTATAATTGTAGAATAAAATAAGTAGTTCTAATACTTATGAAAATATCTGCATTTATTTTTGTTTTATTTGTATTGATGGAACATCGTACTTGGATGTGCAATAGGAATTATCCTAATCAGCGGGGATTGCGGGAGGATTTTGTAGAAGGGGTTGATGACTTTATTAGACATGCAATGTCACTTTCACAATACCAAATTGAAGGAGTAATTAGGTGCCTTTGTGTCCTATACGATTGTGTGAAGTTTAAAAAAATCGGAGGAAGTTAAGCTTCATCTTTATAGGAAGGGGTTTATAGAGAATTACTTTGTGTGGACTAATCATGGAGAGGTCGATGGTAGCCGTGGAATATTTCATAACATGGTTGTTGGTGAAAGTAGTAGGTCGGTAGAGAATACAAATCATGACTCTAGAATTAAGGATATGGTTGCGGATGCTTTTGGGATGCACTCCGGGAATGAGACCAATGAAAATATTGAACAAACTCCTAATGATGATGCAAAATGTTTTTATGAACAGTTAGAGGAAGCTAGTCATCCACTATGTGAAGAAGTCCGCACTCTGAGCTGTCTGTTGCAGTTAGATTACTAAGTATCAAATCCGATTGGATTTTTTCAAGCGGCCATGGACTCTTTCATTGACCTTATGAGTGAACTAGTTGACCCAAATATCAACTTACCTGGTGATTTCTATAAGGCAAAGAGATTGATTTCTAAGTTAGGTCTTTCGTCACTAAGAATTGATTGTTGTGAAGATGGTTGCATGTTATATTATAAAGATGATGCAAATTTAGAAAGTTGTAAATTCTACGAAAAGCCTCATTTCGAGAGGCTTTTCAGCGGGAGTATGGTCACTGTGAAGGCGATGCATTATTTACCTCTTATACCTAGGTTAAAGATGTTATATGCATCGATGAGTTATGCTCCTCATATGAGATGGCACTTTGAAAATAGAAGACCACCTGGTGTTATGTGTCATCTTTCAGATAGAGAAGCTTGGAAGCACTTTGATAGGACATACCCAGATTATGCTAGTGAACCAAGGAACATTGGGTTAGGTTTGTGTGCGGATGTCATCACGCCTTTTCCTATATCTGCGACACCATATTCATGTTGGCCTGTCCTTCTTACACCTTATAATCTACCACCTGAGTTGTGTATGACTAGTCCATATATATTTTTAAATTGTATTATCCCCGTTCCACGTAATCTGAAAAGTTTGATTGATGTATATTTGCAACCTTTGATTGATGAGCTAAAACACTTGTGGTATAATGGTGTTGAAACATATGACATATCAACCAAGCAGAATTTCAAACTGCGTGCTAAGTTGATATGGACTATTGACGATTTCCCGCGTATGGAATGAGTCTGGGTGGATGACTGTTGGGAAGGTAGCATGTACTTACTGCATGGAAAATGGTAAAGCGTTCACTATGAAACATGGCCGGAAGCAATCATGGTTTGATTGTCACCGTCAGTTCATGCCTGATGATCATGAGTTTAGAAGGATGAAAAATGCATTCAAAAAGAATAAAGTGGAATGTAATTCGCCACCTCCGATACTTTCAGGTGAGAAAATTTGGGAGAGGGTCTAGAACTTCAGTAAAGTTACTGAGTCTCCACCTTATAGATTCCCCGGATATGGTGTTACTCATAATTGGACAAAACAGAGTATATTTTAGGAGTTTCCTTATTGGAAGGATAATATTCTCCTACACAACCTCGATGTCATGCATATTGAGAAGAATTATTTTGATAATTTGTTCAACACAATGATGAATTTTAAAGGTAAGACAAAAGATAACCCGAAGGCTAGAATGGACTTACAAGAATATTGTGGGCGACCTAAATAATACTTGCAGGCAGCAAACAATGGTAAGGTGTTCAAGCCCAAAGCAAGTTACACATTCACTTTGGAGGAAAGACGATAAATTTGTGATTGGGTTACGAATTTGAAGATGCCTGAGAGTTATGCGACGAATCCAGGGAAAAAAGTAGATATGGAGGTAGGAAAATTGAGCCATTTGAAAAGTCATGACTGTCATGTTTTCATGGAGACCTTAGTGCCTATTGCATTTTGTGGTTTGCCTGAAAGAATATGAAAAACCATCATAGAGATTAGTTTGTTTTTCAAAGACTTGTGTTCTACCACATTAAGGGAAGAAAACCTACTTCGGATGGATCAGAACATTCGTGTAACTTCTAGTAAGATGGAAAAAATATTTTCATGTGGTTTCTTTGATGTGATGGAACACCTTTCAATCCACTGTGTACACGAGGCACGACTTGGAGGGCCTGCCCTATGCAGATGGATGTATTTTTTTAGAGGTAATATTATAAGTTTGATGTAATATTCTATTTTATTTGAATGTTCTTGGCTAACATGATATTATGTAGGACAATTCGCAAATGCAAATATGTTGTAAAGCAGAGGAATAGGATTGAAGGATCTATATGCGAAGCCTATCTTGCAAAGAAAACTGCACATTTTTGTTCTTATTATTTTGAGAGTAACGTGCCATGTTCTAGGAATAGGCCCAATAGGCACATTGTCGAATGTGTGAATGATCCATTATATCCACCAATGTCCATATTCAATCAACCAGGCTGATGTTCTAAAGATGTTAGAAAGAGAAGTTTGAATGATATGGAGTACAAGTCAGCTATAGTTCATGTGTTGCTAAATTGTCCCGAAGTTGTAACATTTCTCAAGTAAGTAATGATTTACTAGTTATCTAACATGCTAAAATTTACTGTGATCACATATTAATGCAACTACTAAAAATATTTGATGTGTCACAGTCACTTCATGGGTCAATTTGGCCATGATGCTGTATATATGAGTTTTGTTACGCGGTTCAAACAGTTTGTAAGTTTGTCATGATAATTTTCTTCTGAAGTTCCCGCTATATATATATA